GACACTGGAAAGTAAGGATCAGATTAGGGAGGACTTTGAATGAATTTTTCATTAGTTTTAATTTTACTTTCAGTGTACAGCTGTGAAAGGCTCTGGAATGAGAAAAATTGACATGTGAAAAGCAGTGATTTAGAAAGTTGAATTTAGAATTTTGGTTAGGTGATTGCAGCAGGGAGAGATAAATCGCATGTAACTCCCTCCTCAGAGGTGATTGTTCCCTCCTTATTCCTCTTAAATAAGGTAACTACTATGTTTGCCTTTTTTTTTTTTAATTTTTTTTTTTTTTAAGATTTATTTATCAAGAACCGGGGTATAGGCCAGATGCGCGGGAGGGTGAGAGAATTCACCAGAGACAGAGTGGGGAACAGAACAAGCGTACTGACTGAAATACACTGCTGAGGGGAGCAGCGGGCGTGAAAGGAGAGGTCTGCCATGCATTATGGATTCTCGCCAGCCGGCCGGGATCAAACCGCCACTGCAGAGGCTGCAGACAGCTTCACAGTGTGGGGCTCAACTGCCTGCGCCACCAGGGGAGGCCCTATGTTTACCTTTAATCTTATAAATGATAGCTATGTATGCTGCTTAAATGGTCTCTTTTTTATATTTTCTTTAAAAGTAATTCTAAAGAAAATTTTTACTTTTTTGTATGTTGCTTTAAAAATACTTGTAATGTTATTTTCTTGAATGTTTTTTAACCCCAAATAGATTGTGCTGCTTGTCAGTTCTGACTCTTTTATAATAATGTATATGTGAAGAGATGACGCAATGAAATATTTTATTCATTCCCCCAACTGTCTTATAACAGATCTTTTTAAAAAACCAATATAAAGCTCAGGTGCCCTCACTTGAACTACTTTTGGAGAATCTTTATTTTAAATATATGGCCAAAAGATAAACATTTTATACATTCATTTTAATAGCTATTAATGAAAATCAGTTTCTGTAAACATTTAGAATATTATTTTCTTATGCTAGGTTTTTAATAATGACAAATGTGTAGGTTGCCAACTACAAAACTTTCCTTCTACTTCTTTGCTCTCCTGCCCTTACCCCCAGGGTTTCAAGTCCTATTTTTAAGCCTGTTTTCATTGAGTTGCTGTCTTTAATTTCCATCATGGATATCTGACACATGTGGAATGTACCAGGGGCCTTCATGCAGAGCCTGCTAAACTCTAAAGGCTTGTTTCTTTCTTCAGAGAAGTTGAGTCAAATTAATAAGGGTCCTTGGAGAAGTGAGTAACTTCTGAATCTGACATACTGGCAAAGAGACTCAGGTACTGTCTTCCTCTAGCCTGGAGCTGGACAGATAGATTGACCAGTCCTCACAAAATCTGAAATGCCTTCTTTTAAAAGGCAACTTGCCACCACAAGTGTTTGTCAGTGTGGGCCCTGAAGCAGAATAGCATTTGGAAAGCAAATAAAGTATAAATGAGAAAAATGAGCAAAGTTGAAGTGGAATAGCTGTACTAGAGGAAAAGAGGAAGGCGGACATAAAACGTTGTTAACTCATGGAAGGAATCTTGATCATGAGGAATGCGAGTAGGATAAGACAACCTCTTTTTAATCCTCAAAGACTGGAGTGTCTCAGATTTGGGAAGTGATTTATTGCACTACCTAATGTAGAAGAATGGGTTGGAAAGCAGGGGGTTTGGTGATAAGAAAATGACAATGAGATATACAAGCAACTGTTCTGTTTATCTTTTGAAGAAAGTCATACACCTGGTGTCAATCAATGATGGAAAGATGAAATTGTTTTGACTATAGTAAATTTGAGAAGCAGCATTTTGTTATTGATATTGTGAAAATTACTATATAGACTCCCTACATAAAGGTGGTCATGAGGCTAGGGGAAAGTTCCCAAGTTTGACTGTCAAGAAGCTACAGGACCGAGCAGGCCAGCCTTCTCTAAGCCCCAGACGAAGGAAGGAGGGTCCTCACCTAATGAATGCCCTTCTAAAAGCTATAAAAGAGGGTGCCACCTACGTAAGGGAGTTCTTGGCCTTGAGACTGCACTTTCCAAATTGCCTTGCCATTGGTGTTTTCAGTAAGCCCATTTTGTTAGTGAGATAGCTGGTTGTTTTTTATTGGAGGTTGGCAGTGTCATTTAGCTAGAATTCCCATTTACGGGAATTGGCCATACGGATTTTGATAATGGTATTTGTACAACTGTTATTAAATTCACATCTTTCACTCCTACATTTCTGCTTTCTGAGGTTGATAATTTAATTGTAAGCAACATCAAAAATCTAGTCCATTGTGGTCTTTAGTATTAGTTTATTTCATAGTCTTTGAAAAGCCAGAAGTTGATATTTTAGCTATCTGAAAAGCATCTATTTCTTTTAAATTTCAAGTTTATTTTAAAAAAAGTTAATATGTAAGAAGCATTGCTAATGAAAGGAATACTCTAAATTTATTTAGGACTAAGGTCACTGTCAGTGTAGTTGTATTTAGCAAATGAATCATAAGAATGCAGAACATACAATGTGATATCTAAGATTGTCATCAGTAAATATTGGCTAATTATATAAATGATTGCCACCAGAGTTTTGGCAAGTAACAAGAGTTGGACTGTGCAGATTAGTTTCTCATGAAGAGCAGAGTGCCTGCTTCCCTATCAAATCTTGTGGAATAAAAGCTAACAAATAAATCTTACTATGTGGATATTTTGTTGTATATTTAAAGAGATATGATTTTTTTTTTAATTTGTGATTTCTTTCTAAGACGTTTCTAAAGTGATAAAGGCATTTTTTGAGAATAATCAACATAGTTGTTTAATAGAAATTAATACTTTCCTCTGATGTTTAAAACTGGTTTATTTTTAACTCTGAATTATGAATTTTTATAAGCAATTCTTTATGACTGGGGTTTCTTGATAATGTATAATTCTTTGAATATATACTAACAGTTAATCACATTAAACATGTATTTTCAGGTTTAAAATAAACTGGAACTCCAGTGAATTCTGTATGCAGATCTGATTTGTAGATTTTGGTAAAGGGTATCCAGTCACTACAGTAGCAGTAGGTTCCCATTATAAGAACATTTCACTCCTGAGATGGACCAAGTGACCTTGACCCTGAGAAAATCATCATGCACAGATCTCAGTGTTGCTGTATTTCAATTTTTTTAAGTCTAAGTTCTGCCTATTTGCTTATCTTTCAAAGTAAAAAGAAATTGACTTGAAATAACAATAATGAATATCTGCCTCTATTTTTTAAGTGCCTTGTATTGGGTAAAATGTAAAGTTATTTAAATATGTACATTTGATACTATATATCTTTTGTGAGTTATTTTCTGCATTTGAAATTGAGCTTAAAGTTTTTAAGTAGATATAGATATGATTTCTGAGAAATACATGGTATGATTATTTCTGACTAGATTGAAAGCTTACATTTGTATTGTGGTATAAATTAGTTATAAATGCTGTTTTATTGTAGTCGGTGGCATTGTTTTCATCAGGCAATTTATCACATGGTTGTATGTGAAATTTCTTCATTTATTAAATTTCAGATTATGTATTTCAAGCCAGAGCAAGACTTAAACATTTTTTCCATAAGTGTAGCTTCAGGTAAACAAGCAATTTTAGCCCTGAAAATAGCTTCTGCTTCTGTCAACACGTTGTTTATTCTTTCTCTGAGATAAAAAGTTCAGTTTTCTGATATTTGTACCAAGATAAAGTCAGTAAACAAGATTAATATAGTGTGGAAAAGGTTGTCAGCAGCCCTGGCAAAGGAAATAAGTCGCCTGTACATAGAGCATACTGTAAACTGAATAAAAGTGTCAGGTCCACCATGAGATAATGTGATCATGAACCTCTAACAAAGCATGACATAGGCACAGTCGGCTTTTCTCAGAGCCACAGTGTAGCAAATGGATTACTGTCTTCCAGGGAGACCCACTGGAATAGCATGAAAACCTCATTTGGAGATGCGTGCGGGCTGTGGTCCTGGAGTTGAGCCGCGAGTTCACTTGTGGTGCTCAGACTGTGGGGTTATTAATGCCACAACCTCTGCATATTTGCAATATTTGCATTTTTTGGAATTCAGAGTGGATGCTGGGGTCCTTGTCACCCAGTTGATACAAGAGGAGATACATATTGGGAAGTGTTAGTTGTTCTTCAGAGATAGTTTCCGTCTCTTCCTGGCTTTCCTCTCCCCCACCTTTTTTTTGATTCTGTCCTTTAAGTGGAACTGCTGACATTATAGAGATTATAGAGGGCTTTTTGTTTTAGTTATTATTATGACAGCATGATTTAAAGCCTTTTGCTGTATATTTATGTTTAGTTGATTGTGATGTTAGGTTCATTCCTGTTTGGCGTTTGTGTTGACGACCTTCTTTTGATAAGATAGGGAAAGCTGTGAATTTTTTAATAGGAGTAGCAGGAATGTAAAAAAATACTGAACCTTTAATTCTTTGTCAACTTTTTAATTTTACTTAGAAATAAAGGAACGTTTTTCTCTTAGGTAAAATTACATTTCGTTTTATGTGAATAAACAGGTAATTTCTAATCAACTGGGAAAACTATACAGTAGACACTCCCTTGACTTAAGTTTTGTGTGTATATAAATGCCTGCGCTGTGAGACATGTTGTTATATTTAAGAATTAACCTCAAATATGTTGGGCCTCAGAAATGGCATCTGCTCAACACTAATCTAAGCAAATAAACCTTTTTTTCCCTACATATAATCAAATGTATACACAATTTAACTTATATTTGAACTGACTCTGGTATCTAGCTCATATTTTTTTTCTGTTATAAAGATACTTTAAAATAGTCTAAAGTTCTAGCAGTGGAACTACACTAGACCCAAACAAACAGAACATTCCTTACCAAATTTAAATTATACTTTTGGTCCTTGCAATTTTATCTTAGGTTGTGAGAAGTGATGTTATCATCTGAATTTTTGAGTAGATGTCCTCAAATGGAATTGCACCTATTAGTCACTGTCTTCTTACAAACTCAAATGTGATTTGATTTTGGTGTATAATCTCCTTTCAGGTGACCACATCAGGCCCCGTAAATAACAAGAGGATGGTTCACTTTTCTCCAGATTCTCATCACCATGAGTGAGTACTCATTGTGTTTATATAGCCCTGTGGAATATTCTGCAGCTTTTTTTGGGGGGGGGGAAATTGGCAGCTATTGTTACCTTTTCAGTGTATCTGTGATCTCTCCCTCATAACCTCCGTGATCTGGCTCTCTGTTCTCCCTCTACTCCCTGGATTTAGCCTCTACTTCCCTGCACTCCTGGGATTTTGCTCATGCATGCCTTCTCTCCTACCCAGATGCTTCAAGATCCTCCTTGTTGGTCAAGACTGACAAAAACCACCATTTTATCAGAATGCTCTAAATTCAAGTAACAGAATACAAAACTAACAATAGATGGAACCAAAAGTTTGTTTCTTTTCAGAACCACTCACCCATTCCTTAATTTTCATGACCAGAACTGTGTTACTTGGTAACCAATACTTTCAAAGACTACAAAGACTAGGTATCTGGCAAATTTTTTTTTAAAGATTTATTTATTTATTTATACAAGTACTGGGTACAGTCAGAAGTGTGGGAGGGTGAGAGAATTCACCAGAGCCAGAGTGGGGAGCAGAACAGGCAGACTGATGAAACACAATGCTAAGGGGAGCAGCGGACGCAACAGGAGAGGTCTGCACGCCATGTGGGACCCTCACTGGCGGCCAGGGATCAAACTGGCGCTGCAGAGGCTGCGGGCAGCTTTGCAGCCCAGTGCTCAACCACTGCGCCACCAGGGGAGGCCCATATCTAGCAAATTTTTAAATCAATCATGTTTCATGACTTGAATCTGATGCATAGTTGCCCTTAACAAAATGAGGATAAAAGGATGCTTTCGACTGGGAAGCAGCTAACAGATGTGTCCTATTCAAGCTTATTGCCACCTCCACACCCACTCTTCTCTCCACACAGACATACGGTGTGGAGTACCTTTCCTGCCTCAGCCAAAGGAGACCACTCGAAAATCTCATTCAGTCACTTTGACTCTCTCCAAATTTCATCCAGGATTTCCAAGTGGCTTGAAAATTTAATCAGATCTGGCTTTGGCTCCTTGTGGTAGATAGCCTATAAATTAGAAGTGTCTGCTACACCATACAGATGTTTGGAGGCCAGCTCTGTCAACAAGAGCTCCTATTCAGGAAATAGGCACTTAATTCTCAGTGCGCCTCCAGATGGATCCACATGGACAGGGAGTTCTCCTTGCTGCTTCTTGGAAGACTATCATTGTGATTTATACTCAAAGATTACAACTGATACATTCATGACAACAGATTTCCTTCCTTCCCCCCTCCCTCCTTCCCTCCCTCCCTCCCTTTTTGGTTCATTGAGGTATAACTGACAAAAATTGCAATATGTCTAAAGTGTACATGTGATAATCTGATATGCATACACATTGTGAAAGAATTCGCACCATCCAGTTAATTAACACATCTGTTACCTAATATTTACCTTTTTTCCCCCCGAGAACACTTATCTACTCCTAACAACTTCCCAGTGTACAATACAATAGTATTAATTATAGTCTTATACTGTGCATAAGATCCTCAGCCCTTACTCATTATAACTGAAAGTGTGAGCCCATTTATAGCCTCTCACTCTTCTGTTCCCCCATTTCCTGCTATCTATCATTCTCGTGTTTTATGAGTTTGAGGTTTGTTTAATCTGATTTTAGATTCCACATATGAGAATAACATGCAGTATTTATCTTTCTGTCTTGCTCATTTCAGTTAGTATAATGACCTATAGATTTATCCACGTTGAGATATACATGCATTTGCATTTTCTTTATCTGCTCCTCTGTCAATGGATGCTTAGGTTGTTTCCACATCTTGGCTATTATGAATGATGCTTCAGCAAACATGGGGGTGCGGATATCTTCAAGATAGTGATTTCATTTCCCTTGGCCGTATATGCCAAAGTAGCATTGCTCATGGTAATGAGTATGGTATGGTAGGTCTATTCCTAAGTTCTTAAAGAATCGTTCTACTGTTTTCCATAGTGAATGCACCAGTTTTCACTGCAGTGCACAAGGCTTCCCTTTTCTCCACATCCTCACAGCATTTGTCATTGCTTGTCTTTGTGACAGCAGACATCCTAATATAATAGGTATGAGGTGATAGCCCATCGTGGTACTGGTTTACGTTTCCTTGAGGATGAGCAATGTTCAGCACCTTTTCATCTACCTGTTCACCATATATATGACTTATTTGGAAAAATATCTATTCAGATCCTTTGCTCACTATTTTTTTTTTAAAGATTTATTTTATTTATACAAGAGCCAGGGTACAGGCCAGAGGCGAGAGGATTCACCAGAGACAGGTACAGGTACAGGAGGGTGAGAGGATTCACCAGAGACAAGTGGGGAACAGAACAGGCAGACTGACTGAAATACACTGCTGAGGGGAGCAGCGGGAGAGACAGGAGAGGTCTGCTCGCCATGTGGGTTGCTCTGAGGCCAGTGGGGATTGAACCGGCACTGCAGAGGCTGTGGACAGCTTCACAGCACTGCGCTTAACCGCCTACGCTACCAGGGAGGCCCTCACTTTTTTTTTTTTAAAGATTTATTTACTATATAAGAACTGGGATAGAGGCCTGAGGCGTGGGAGGGTGAGGGAATTCACCAGAGACAGAGCAGGGAGCAGAATGGGCAGATGACCAAAAGCACTGCTGAGGGGGGCAGCGGGCAAAACAGGAGAGGTCTGCCACGCCATGTGGGTATCTCCCTGGCTGGCCGGGAATCAAACCGGCATTGCAGAGGCTGCGGACCGCTTCACAGTGCTGCACTCAACCCGCTGTGCCACCCGGAAGGCCCTCCTTTCCTCACTTTTTAACTGGATTACTTGGATTTTTGCTATTGAGTTTTATGAGTTCCCTATATATTTTGATATTAACACCTTATTAGATGTGTGGTTTGCAAGTATTTTCACCCATCCATAGGATGCTTTTTCATTTTGTTAATGGTTTCCTTTCCATTAGTAGTACCATTTGTTTATTTTTGCTTTTGTTGCTCTTGCATTGGGTATCAAAAATAATAATAATAATAACAATTGCCAAGGCCATCAAGTTACCCCTTGTGTTTTTTTCTAGGAGTCTAAGGCTTTCAGGTCTTAGATTCAGGTCTTTTTTTTTTTTTTTTTTTAAGATTTATTTATTTATGCATACAAGAGCTGGGGTACAGGCCAGAAGTGTGGGAAGGTGAGAGGATTCACAAGAGACAGAGTGGGGAACAGAAGAGGCAGATTGACTGAAAACACTGCCGAGGGGAGCAGCGGGAGAGTCTGGAGAGGCCTGCTGTGCCATATGGGTTGCGCCCTGGCCGGCTGGGGATCCAGCTTTTGCTGCAGAGGCTTCTGGATAACTTCATAGTGCTGTGCTTAACCCCTTGCACCACCAGGAAGGCCCAGATTCAGATCTTTTAATTTGAGTTGATTTCTGTGCATGGTTTAAGATAGGTGTCTAGTTTCTCTCTTTTGCATGTGACCAGTTTTCCCAGTACCATTTATTGAGGAGACTAACCCTTTCTCCATCATATAGTTTTCATTCTTTTATCATAAATTAATGGACCATATATGCATGGGTTTATTTCTGGGCTCTATTCTTTTCCATTATCAGTTTTTTCTTTTTAGTCCCAGCTATCGTGTTTTGATTGTTATAGCTTTCTAATACTTAGGTTGAATATTTCTATACTTGCATTGAACCTGTGGATTACTTTGAACATCTTGACAATATTAATTCTTCCAATCCTTAAACATGATATATCTTTCTATTTATTTGAGTCCTTTTTCATCTCCTTCATTAATGTTTTCTAGTTTCCAGTGTACGAGTGTTTCACCGTCTTGATAAAAATTATCCCCAGGTATTTTATTTCTTTATGATGCAACAGAGAGATACTCTGGGGAAGGTATAACTAGAACCCTAATTATATTAACCATAGCTCCCATTAAGTCTAGCTTCTATGCCACCACTGCCTCCTTCCATGTAAGAGTTCCCACACTTGGTTTCCCAACCTTCAGCTTCCTAGTTATGAGACTTTCCTTCAAATTAAATGGTAATTTGTAAGCTGAAACCCCTTCTCTTAGCAAATCTATATTTTCCTGTCTCTCTTCAGACCTATCCTTTGCCTAGGTATTCTTTATGTAGGTAGGGAATATGAGGAAGGTGCTTGGTAGGCCTTACTTACTCTATAAATGTCTTATAAGGGGACATCATAGGATATAACTGTGTGTGATTTTATTTAACAAGGAAACAATTTTCACACACAGATAAACACAGGCATGAGCACATGGTGTCCCAACTGAGTTTCCCAACACCTTTCTCTATAGTTTAAAAACTGACCATATTCTGCTTCATTTTTTGTCCTTCATTGTCCTAGGGGCAAGCCCAGTATCTGAAAGTCTCCTAATACTCCTTTAATAGAAGATTGTAATTGTGCAGACATACAACTCCACACAGCCTGCTGCCCTTCTTTCATTCATCCTGTCTCCTGTTGTAAAGTCAGGCACATGGGTGTGTGCTACACAGAATGTGGCAGCACCTAATAGCAGAACAGACAAGGCATTTACTGCCTCAGAATGTACAAGTCTCCAAGATACACAGTAACCAGTAGCTTTTAGGGCATCAAGATTCAGATCTTTCTTCCACATACATGCTTTTTCTGAAAATCATTAGCCCAGGTTATTCTGCTGATTCTTGCTTTTCTTCTACTTTAGAGAAAAGGAAGACACCCCATCACCACCACCACATGCTGATCTTACTTTGGCACATTGTCCTATGTTCTGGGTTTTTTTTTTGGTTTTTTTTGTTTTTAATTCATGGTTGAGATTTAGATTCTAAAGTACCTAATTGGATACGTTTAGATTCACGGTGATCAAAGTGATATTTAGAGTCCAACATATATTTTAGAATTAAAAATGGTTGACTACCTGTCTTGTCAAGAACACTTTCACAAAACATAACAGAACATCCTAGAACTAATGTTTTAAACAAATAGTGGATTAGTTCACTGACTTAATCACATAAAAGTAGTCAATTCCAGGGCTGTTGAGATGGCAGCTACAGTATATACTATACTTCCTTTAAGAAATCTTTGGTTTCAGGCCTCCCCGGTGGCGCAGAGGTTGAGCGCTGGGTTGCGAAGCTGCCCGCAGCCTCTGCGGCGCCCGTTCGATCCCCGGCTGCTCCCCAGCCACCGGAGGAGGGTCCTGCATGGCTCGCAGACCTCTCCTGCCGCCCGCTGCTCCCCTCAGCAGTGTACTTCGGTCCTTCTGCCTGCTCTGCTCCCCGCTCTGGCTCTGGTGAATCCTCTCACCCTCCCGCGCTTCTGACTGTACCCAGTGCTTGTATCAATCAATCAATCAATCAATCAGTCAATCTTGTATAAATAAATAAATAAATAAATCTTAAAAAAAAAAAAAAAAGAAAAGAAAGAAATCTTTGGTTTCTTACCTCCCCAAATTCCCATCAGCAATTCTCTACACCTTTAATTTTTCTTTTTTAGGTTTTTGTTTTCTGTTCAGTTATAGTATGTGCTACCTCACTCTTTAAATATAGTTATTATATAAATGCTTTAGTTCCCTTAAGGGGCTATGAATTTGCCAAGCTCAGTAGCTTTGTCCAGTTCTTCTCAAAGTTTCTCATGGTATGCAGCACACACATCAAATCCTAGGCTCCCAGGTCAAGTTTATCAAATTCTACTCCTGGCTAGGGCTGGAAAGACATACTCCTTCCTGATACTGGCATAAGAGCACAGAGACAGTGTGCATTAACTGTGGTTTTGGGTAATCCTGACTGTATTTGCCTCAGAGCTATAATAACCTGTAGCCTGTAACCTGTAATGGAAAATAATTATTAAATATTTAGAAACTCCTAATTGGATAGTAAGCACTACTCTTACTTTCACTCAGTTAATCACTATTCCTAAGTCAATATTTAATTTGCTTTGGAAGATCATCTCTAAAAACAGTCTGACATAGGGATGTCTAAAATAGAGTTTCAAACTTAAAAATAGATTTTAATAAGTGGGGGAAATATTTTACAGGTTCTAAAACAATAATATTGAGGAATTTTCAGTTCTGAAACCATGTAGCTGTATGGTCTCATGTTTACCAAACTTTATGGTACCTAGAAATGACTCTTCCAGAAAAATACAGCTACTGAGCAAGGCATGGAAAAGGATGCTTTTAGAATTAATAGAACATCACTCAGCATGGTGCTCAGTGTGGAGAAGCTCACTTCACTGAAAGTTCTCAGGTTGGTCTATGAAAATAGTGGAGATAGGTCAATAAAAATGTAAAAATGACATTTTAAAATAATTTCCATTGTAGAAAAATTACTGACAGAAATTTGTTGAACAGTCAACTTTGCTGCCTACATGTCTGAATTTGGAGCCTTAGGTTTTAGGGGCAAACTAACATGCTTTGTATAGATATTAAAAAACCTTGCAGAGTTTCATAATGATGAAAATATGATTACTTTAATAAAATAACAGATAAAATAATTCTTTTACCTACCATTTACCATCTAATAATTATTCCCTTGGAAAACTTAGATCTACATTTAAAGTCTAATCATTAATGTATGATAGGTTTCTTTTAATAGGAAATTGTTAACCCAGATAAACTAAATGTTTATTAAAATTACTAACAGAGAGGTACACAAAAGTCACAGTACTCTCAATCTAACTAAAATAGAGAATTTAGTGCTTATTTTCTGTGTGTAAAAATAACATGTTTAGTTTTGAAATTCACATGTAACCATTCTGTTGACCTCCTGGAAATACATATATTAAAATGTGAAAAATAAAATTAATAAATTACTGCCTGTTTTTTAGTAGTTAAGGCATTAAATGGGGGCCTTGTTCACTCCACCTGCATTTAAGTACAATTATTTAAATTGTACCAGAATTTTTTCTTTTCTTTTTCAATCACTTCTTAAATGCTTGTTTTAAATTGAGCAGACTTAGTTTATTAATTGATTTTAAATTGGTATTTATAGTTTTCTTTAATTTCCTTTTAAACTGCAGGATATTTACCTGAGAAATTGAATGTAAATGAAAACTTACTTTAAATGCACACCAGAAGCTACTTGTAATCCTATGATGAATTCCTTTATAAAGCAAATATTCACCCTTTATTTTATCTTTTGTGTAAATATCGAGTTTGCTTAAAGCAAGATTTGCCTGGATTAAAGGTTATGTTCATTGGGAATACTTGCACGCTTTGAAATTTAGCAACTCTTGCTGCATAGTGAAAGTGGCTTTAACTTCAGGTTGAGATAAATAAGATATACTGGATCAATTGCTGCTCTGATTTACTGTAATTCCCTTGGGTAGGTCTTTTAGCTTACATATGTCTTAATTTTTACTTATGGAATAAGGATAATAAGTCATATTTTATATACGACTTTTAAAAAAAGTGCTTATGTAAAATACAGAATGATTATTAAACTAGCTATCAAACATCTCAAGGCGCTGAAGATGTTTCATTGTATAGTGTGGTGTATTTTATTTTATTTTTATTTGCACCAGTCTCTTCAATGTTTTTTACTACTTCTCTTAAGCATTGCTATACCCCATTGTATAGATAATCTTACTTTTCTAAAAGTCACACACTACTCCACACAAGCAAAACTCAAATAAAGAAACAAGTGTATTAAGCATCATTATGTCTTTGATTAACATGCTAACCTTGTTCTGAGTTCGTATAAATATTATCTATAAGCACTGGTATCTTTACTGATATTTGGGAATAAATAGTTACTGCAGAAACTCACAGAATAAAAATTGAGTTCTTACTTACGTTGTGTACCATGGGTGAAGAAAAATTCTTTTAAAAACCTACTATGTGCCAGTTTCTTAGTCTTGTGCAAGCCTTCCAACACAATAAGAGAGGTGGGGTTAATTTTATTTTACAGATGAGGAATAAACCAAGACTTAGAAAATAAAAGTGTTATAATTTGTCAGAGTTCACTTCTCTGGTAAGCAGCAGAACTTGTATCCAATCTTAGATCTTTCTGATTCTAAAACCCATGATTAGGCAACCACACTAAGCTGAACTTCTGGATTTACGTTTGTCACTTAATAAAAGAAATGAAATTGAGAAGGGCCCCTTAAGCATTGCTGTAGAATAAACTTTTTGTGTCATAGAAAAGTTAGTGAATGAGGAATATCATCACATCCTTGTCAAAGAACTTAACATCAGAGCCTCATTTCTGCATTAGGAACATGAAAATAACCTTGTAAGTTATTTGTAAGGGTAGGAAATAACATATGTCATATATCTAAAATGAACTTGTTACATAGAGGTACTCGTTACTGTTCATTGAAAATAAGATGGTCATTATATAGATACATTATACATAATAGCATAAATAATAATAAAATAACATTGCATGGCTCCTCATGATTGTAGTGTTTTCAGTTTTGCCACAGTGCCTCAATTTCCTGGTCTGTTATGTTGACAATGAGTTTTTATACAGACTACCTCTAGATTTAGAAAATGGTAACAACTGCCCTGGTCCACCTGATAGGCCAGTATGACTGTCTAAGGGGCAACTGAAACAGTATGGAGGGGGTGCGGTGCAGGCAGGGTAAGGCTGCACCCCACTGTGCCATGACTAGTGTTGAACTTCTCTGTTGGAATCCAGTTTGTTATAACTCTAGAAGGAAGGGTTCAAGGTTCCTTTAGCCGAGGCTCCAGAATTCACATGGAGGGCTTTAAGTGAATTTTCCTGGGGGCCTTGCCAGAGGTTATAATATTCCTGAATTTTTACTGTTTTGTTTTTTTTTTTTAAAACTCCAACAATCAAAAGGTCATAATTTGTTGTAATGATGCTATAATTAAATTGTGGTAGCTGATAGCATTTTAGAGTTTATAACCAGAATTGATTCTTAAAATGAATACAGTCCCAGCAGTTTATGTTAACATAATTAAATGGAAATGTAATTCTGAGTTTGCTTATTAAATTGAAAATTACTGGGTTATAAGCACTCTTGCATTTCTGTCAAAATTGGTGTATGTCTACAAGTACATGAAACATCCATTAAAATAAAGCATATTTAAGGCTGGGTTGCTGGTTGCTGGTGGCAAATACATTTCTTAAAACTCTTGCAGATTGATGGTGTGAAAAACATATGCTTTCTGGAAGGTCTATGCTAACTGCTTTTCTCTTTCCTCTGCAGCCATTGGTTTAGCCCTGGGGCTAGGACAGAGCATGGCCAGGTAAGGAATTTTTTAAGGCACTGGGAAGTTAGTCTCTTTCAAATATTAACTATTTCCTTTCCGGACCATAGATCTGCTTTATGGGAAAGAATATAAACCTCAGTTTATTTAAAAAGGCGTTAACTGCACCAGTGCTTAATACCTGGACCAAATCAATGGTCTTCAAGGATCTGAGTTCTGACTGCCTCCCTCTGCAGTCAGCCTTGTCCCCTCCAGGGAAAGACTCTGAAGTCACTTGTTTGTAGGACTTCAGCATTTGTATTTATTTTACACAAAGTTGAGGTATCCAAAGAGGACAGATGCTTAAAAATTGGTTTGTATTAAACATAAGTCCAACCAGCAAGAGATCATTTTTATTTTTGAGGCTTAGAAGGTAGAGATAGTTTCTTGCAACTGTGTCATATTTCTAGGTGAGTTTATTTTTATTTCCTCTTAGTATGCATGACAGCACAATGGCTAGTTGACTTAGCAAGAACTTGAATTCATTTCAGTTAACTTTACATATAAAATAAGTATCTCTTTGTTCCTTTAATGTACTCTCTCCAGAGCATGCTTAAGTAAATAAGGACTGGAATTTCTGATAAGTTTTAAGACGTAGTTTGTGTTCTATAGCCTTACTAAGTTTTTTTCATTAGGTATTACAAAGTTATTTTTTCAAGTGGCTCAAAAATCTGTGTAAGGATTACCTTTAAATATATGAGAATGATAGACATCAACTCCACAGTGATCATTTCTTCTAAGAGGGAGGGAGGTAAACAGGTAGAGAGAAGGTCTTGCTTGGCAATGGTAATTGGTAAGATTACTGTGTGGGTGATGTTTTATTTCTTAAGCTTGGCAACAGGTGCAGAGTTGGCTGCATTTACCATAGTTCTTTTTACTTACGAAAAGAAGGTGCAAAGAACTTCACTATAAATTATGCTGTATTTCTTAACGCACAAGAACCTTATTAAGGGAAAATAACTTGCAAGTTCAGTTACAGTGAATTTGTTAACGTACCTTTGTCCATGAGAGCAATATGCCCCTTTAAAGATACAGCTCACATGAATAATAGAATATGTACCACTGTTTCTAGAGACTTAGTAATTAACTAGGCTAAGTGACATCTGTGAAATGTTGAACTTACTCACAATGCAAAAATTAGACTTTCTACTTTCCCAAGTGATTCATATCCTTCTGTGTACATATGTACATTAAGATTCTGCTTCTAGTAATAGCCTGTATCAGGGTATAGATTATCCCAAAATACTTTTTTCCCCTCCAGATTTCTTAATGTTTTACCCTTTAGAATTAGAGGCATGGATGACAGTGTAGCTGGTTGCTTCCAGCTAAGCTTTCTCTCGGCAGTTGTTGACTTAATTTTTAAGATTAAGTTGATAAGAAATTTTTAAAAATTTTTTAAAATCTTTGATCAATGTCTAAATCAATATTTGCTTATAAGGTAATACACTATTTCAGATATTTATGTCGACTATATAGCCTATTCACTGATAAATGCAGGTAATTCTTGTTCCTTACAGTAGTTGTGTTCTGGAAAGTTGACTTGAACACTAAAGTGGTGAATACTGAGACTTTGCTCTTGGGGAAGATGCAGGGCTGGGTCTCTGTGAGTCTGGTCACACAGTTTTCCATACCTGATTAATACTCAGCTTTGTGTGCTGTGCATCTCTGACTAAACGCAGCTTATTCTATATCATTGGTTCATTAATACTGAACTCAGGGCCAGTGGCGCTCTAACCTGCACCTGAATGAAGCTTATCTAACGTGCATTTTCTCCACAAGACCCATCACAACCTTCTTGCACTTAGGATCACTAGATAGCACTTCAGAACTGTGCTCTGGACCTTTTTAAAAGCAATGAAATCACCAGCTAGAACACAGACATGCAAAAAACATAGCACTAAATAGATGAGAAACAGGCACTTGTTTATAGCATAAGAACAAAATCCAACATCACTTCCTAGAACCTAGGCTGGGAACAAGTGTTATAGGAGGCTCACATTTGTACTACTCTGCACGTGTCTGGGAATGAATGCAAAAATGCCAGAAGTGTGAAGTTTGGCATTACAAATAAATTTTAGCAAACAGATCAACCCACAAATACAGAATCTGTGAATAATGAAGATTAACTGTACATATACCTATGCATACCAATACATGTACAGAATATTTAACATTTTAAGGGTCAAAATATTTTAGTTCAACTTAGACCATTGCTATTAAATTAATATATCAATATTATATTTCATCTATTATATATATTAGATTAGATTAATATATATTACATTATATTGTTATTATATAACCCAGTAACTATTGGCTAAATCTCGGTGCAAGTGAGGAAATGCGAGACTATGAAGAAATATAAAATCCTTCAATATAGTTGATGGATAAGTGGCTCTTCACATGCATGATCACCTTTGATTTTTTCCATAAATAACTAATTACTCTATTAGCCCTCCATCTTTTGGAATCCCATCCCTCAGTCCTTTTCTCCTACCTTATGATTCCTCTTAGTGCTAAAATCCATTTCCATGTACACCAGGCATAGTTATGGTTCCTTTACTATGCATTTATTAAATAAATATAATCTGCTAACCATTATATTTCAGATACTCTGCTTTTGTAAAAAAGGAATTTAAAATATTTACAAATAACAGCAAAATTTTCCCCCTGGGGGGGTGTAATCTGGGGCAGAAAAACCATAATCACAGTGTGTTGATTGATGTTTGAGGAAGGCCCTGAAGTGGATTCTATCCTGGGCCCAGCAGAGAAATGTCAGTTTGTTCAGGTAGAAGGGAGGAGGGAGAGGTACTGTATGAAGCATCATTTCTTCATTACTTTTTTTGTTTTTCGTCCTTGAACATCTTATGATTTGACATTTTGACTGAGTTTACTGGTATCTTAATGAGTCATAGATCATAGTTTAGGTATTAATTCATTCTCCTTTTAAGGTTGAGGGAACTGAGAGGCCAAGTGTGAAGAGACTTGAAAATTATTTTGCAGATATTTGAGGACTTGCCTGAAAAGTAACTTCTAATAGAAACACTCCTGAGCTTGCATGCCTTGCAAATATCAGGTAGTGAAGAGACGATTGCTGTGGAATGAAAATTCTGCTCTTTGCGTTTTCCTGTTGTCTGAAGGATTTGAAACTTAATAATCTTGTAAAAGTATCATGAATAGCCACAGAGATTCTTAGCTTCCTGTCTATGACTGTAAAAACCATTACCCACAGCAGCACTTCTCCCTGGTTTAAAAATTCAGCCATTTTCTCAATCATACATAACTTTTATAAACCTCACAATGTACTAGGTTTTATATTTATGAGTTTTAATGTAATTCTTATACAAGTCATGTTTAATATACACCTGCAGGTCACTAATAAGGAAATTGTATCTCCGTTGGACCTAAGTCCAGCAATCTGAAAGTTGGAAGGTAAGAAGCACTTCGCACCATATTCAAAAGTTCTATTTTTAATCAAAGTTGACGTTATTGAGTCAGAACCCTGAAAAGTAACCTCACTTGTGACACTGATAGGAGTCTCATGAGACAGAAAAAAAAAAAAAATCACAGGAAGAATGAAGCATTTTGCAAAACCTGATGAGCTACTCTTGCTTCTTATCTTAGTTCAGAGTTCAAGAATTTTTGTGTCTTTTCCCATTTTGTTGACCTGATCCTATCTCCCTATTTTTGTTCTTTGAGACACAGCAGAAACATGAGACTGTTTCAAATACGAATAATATATTCTCTCATCTACTATCATGCTGGATTAATTTTCCCCTCTTTGCCCTTAGGAAGATGAAGTTTCCCATTTTAACATCTTAGATTTATGACCCAGAGATTTGAATCTGTATTTTTTTAATGGAGTTTGTTTATAAATTTCCAAAACCACATCTAGATTCATAATTTTACTGATCAAGTGATATAATTTTGTGATAACTCTTTTCTGTAGGTACGTTGTCTTAAGTAATTCCAATATTTGTCTCTTTTCATTTATGAATTGCTTCAAAACTATGAATTTGAGAAATTGTCATGTGAATCTTTGAGGAAGAACTTTACCGCCAGCACTCACAGCAGCTGCTATCTCTTTGAGTTCATCCAGGAGGTGATCTCTCTGAGAACTGTCCAAACCTAGTGGATACATCCTCATATTTTTTTGGTCCAATAGTTGTATTTTTCTAAATTTTAGTATGATATTCTTACTTTAGAACATTGTTTGAGATTTTGAGTTCTTTGTTTTAATGCCTCAGCAATAATGTTCACATATAGAGAAGTTAGTTTCTACTACTAATTTAAGGTAGCAGTAGAGATCTCATCATGTCCCCGCTCACTATCTGTGTCACAAATGTTGGTTTATGTGTGTGTGTTGGTTTATATATATATATATATATATATATATATATACACACACACACACACACATACACTTAAAAGCACTAGACTTAGAAATGCCAAAGTCATTAATTGCTCTACTTTCAGGAACAATTTTGTTTTCATGGTACGAAGTGTTTCTAAATTGAAACACTTTCAGATTAATGGACTTAAGATAAAGGTTTGTTATTTTCTATAAGTAGTAATAAAGCGTTATGACTACAGCTACATATCAGAAACTGGATTTCACTCCATTTGTTTTTATCTTATTATTCATTCATTCAACAAACATTTATTGAGCACAAAAGTGTTTCAGACATCTTACTAGAGGTTGGACATGCAGACAGACTAAATAACTTAAACCAGGTGCAAAGAGGAGCAAGAACGAGGGACATACTGCAAGCTACAAAGTTCAGGAAGACTGGGACATGTAATTTAGAAGGAAGAAGGTTAGATTCAAGGAGGAAGTGTAATAAACTATGAGTTTAGAAATGTAATTTAATTGCAAGGATCGTGAAAGCCTTGGAAAACATCTTGGGCTTATCTGAAGAGAATAATGAAATCAGATCTAATTTTAGAATTGTTGGCTATTGGGTACAGAATGGATTAGTGGGAGCAAAACTAGAGGCAGAAAGGCCAGTTGGGAGGCTGTTAGAGGTGAGGGAAATGATGTTCTGGACTAGGATGGTGGGAGGGGTGGAAAGAAGTAGATATTTAAGAACCATTTAATATATGTTAAGATAAGACTTTCCTGGAAGAATCAATGATTTAATTATGTTCTTGCGGATCTATTTAAGTTCTATTTCTTCTCAAAGAAACTTCTCAAAGATGACCAAGGTCATTAATAATGGAGTCTAACTTATGTCATTAAGCAATACAAAGTAATTTCATTTGAAGTTATTGATACTTTTGGTCAGACCATACCCATGGACCAACAGGTTTATTTTGTTATAAAGAGAATTATAATTGCGCATTTAAACCATGTTCTCAGCACATCTTGTGTTCTGGTCATGGTCCTAAGCATTGTACATGGCTTATTTTATTTAACACTCACAGCAGCCTTATAGGTAGATATTATTATCTACGTTTTACAGATAGAGACAGGGACTCAACCAGGTGAAGTACTTTGCCTTGGGATACACACCCTATAAATGATAGATCCATTTTTAAAAATGTAGTAACTTGAGCTACTGGCACAGCTGGGATTAGAACCCAGGTCTGTCCTACGTTATTACTTCTAAGATTCTTAGTTTTGTTAGGGTCCTTTTCTAATATGCTGTACAACTTCTTCTTAGCCCAGTCTTGCATGTAATCACATTTCTGCATAAATAAGATAAGCTACAGTTTGAGTGAACACCTAGTAAGGAGTATTGACTAATTTTTTTTTTTTCTTTCCAATTAGTTAGAGTAAAGCAAGTGTGAAGGAAAAAGTAGATGGTGAGACATTTTGAGAAGGCAATTGAATATATATATTTTTTCTAATTATATTTTTCCAAGCCAATAATTTCTTTGAAAAAGAATGTTTTAAGTGTTTTTTAACCATGTTAGGCCAGCAGATACTGAGAAAATAGTATTAGATCTTTTATGTCAGGGTAGGTGAAAAAATATCAAAGTCACAGCTCAATGCTGTGGGGGGCAGATGATAAAGAGGGACCACCCCAGAGGACCAGATAGAGCTGAGTCCTCGACCCCCAGCTTAAGGCCGGTGTCAGCTGACTGTACGTACAGTTCAGCTGCCAGGGAGGCTCTGGGTTGGCGACTCTTACTAACATTTTGACAACAGCAGCAATGGGCAGCTCTAGCATTTGTGATGGTGTTTGGTTTTCTTTTTTTAAAGATTTATTGATTTATACAAGAACCAGGGTACAGGCCAGATGCGCGTGAGGGTGAGAGGATTCACCAGAGACAGAGCGGGCAACAGAGCAGGCAGACTGACAAAATACACTGCTGTGGGGAGCAGCAGGCAAGACAGGAGAGGTCTGCTTCGCCATGTGGGATTCTCGCTGGCCGGCCGCAGAGGCTGTGGACAGCTTCACAGTGCGGCGCTCAACTGCCTGCACCACCAGGGAGGCCCTGTTGGTTTGTTTTTTTTTTTTAATATTTATTTATGCATACAAGAACTGGGGTGTAAGCCAGAGATGTGTGATGGGGGTGTGTGTGTGAGAGGATTCACTAGAAAAGTTGGGGAGTAGAACAGGCAGATCTACTGAAATAACACTGCTGAGGGGAGCAGCAGGTGAGACAGGAGAGATTTGCTCCGCCATGTGGGTAGCTCCCTGGCTGGCTGGAGATCAAACTCGTGCTGTAGTGGCTGAGAGTAGGTTGATAGCGCTGTCTTTAACCCCTGCGCCACCAGGGAGACCCTGATAGTGTTTGTTTTAAGGAAAACAGGTAGAAGAAAAAGTAATGCCACTGAACAATAGTGACCATTTGAATGAGAATACTTTTCTACTTGCCAAATAATATAATGAAAATATTTTTGTTTCTGCAACTTTGTCTTAACACTTTGGATAACATCAGCTTCTGCGAGATAACCGAGCTGAAAGAGGACACAAGAAAAACTGTTCCGTGAAAACAGCCAGCAGGTAAGCCATTCAAAATCACTTTAATGCTGATCATTAAATCATGTGCAATATTTTTCCATACCAATAGGAATTTGGTGAGTTGTAGTTAAGTTGCCTTGGGTTATAAAGAGCCTGCTTAAAGTGTTTTGTGTCCTGTTTATTAGAATCATTTCAGGATTACTGAGCATCAATAGGAAGATAAACCATTTTGTTTGTATTTTAAAAGGCCAGTGAAAAATAAACAATACATTTTTGCAAGAAAAGAAAATGTCTGTCTCTCTTACCTGAATAACATTTACATCAGGGTTTAGGATAATTATTTTATTTTTTTAATTTAAAAAGTAGAATTAATTTCCCTTAATATCCTTTTTAAGCAGCTTTACCTGTAATAGTTTCTTAAAGAGGAATAATCCAAATGTCATTAAATACACAGTAAATAGATTAATAATCTGGGATATACTCATACACTGGATTAATACTCTGCAATAAAAAGGAGTGAAGAATTGATACACATAGCACATTTCTATAGAATTCTAAGAAATGTACACTAACCTCTAGTTGTGGAAACAGTTGTTGCATGCTTGTGGGATGAGGGCGGGGGTACTGGAGGGAAGAATGATACAGGGAAATAAGGAAACTGTTGTGGTGACAGGCATCTTCATTTTGTGCATGGGGACGATGGATTCACAAGTGTATACCTGGGTCAAAGCTTACTGAGTGTACACTTCAATTGTGTGCCATTGGCTTATGTCAAACCTTTTATTTTCTAAATTTCAGTATCTAATGTTGTACTTCTTAAATTGAAAATATCTTTCCCTCTGCCTTCATCTCATTTTAAAAATCAATTAAATAAGTTCATGTTATTTTTCATGCATGACCTCTGATTAGCTCCGGAAAGTTCTGTATAGCCTTCCCAAATTGAAAGTCAGTAAAACATGAAGCAACGCTGGATGCTCAGTGATGTGCCCTTCCCAAAAGGATAGGTCTTATTTTCCTGCACACTTCATGTTTGCAATCATCTTCGTGATTCTAAGAATTCATACAAAAAGGTTGATAGTTTATCTCAACGTTATTGGATTGTCTGTATCATGGCAGAGCCTTCCCTTTTAAGATCTGGTGCTTTTTTTATTTCATTTGAAATTTCCTGAGCCACCTTCTTTACATGATGTGCACCATTCACTATTCGGAAACAGAAAGATTAAAGGATCTAGAGGTCTGATAAATAGTTTGAAATCAAGGAAAAATCTTTTTATCGCGAACATTATTAAATTTTACTTTGCATTTAAAAATGTGTTTTAGAAACTTTTTTTAATTTACATTTACTTAATTATTAGAGACCTACATTTTTCCTCAATCTAATGTTAAAATAATTTGATAGGGCAGCTTCTGCAGTGCCGGGTCGATTCCCGGCCGGCCAGGGATTCCCATATGGCACAACAGACTCTCTCCTGTCTCACCCGCTGCTCCCCTCAGCAGTGTATTTCGGTCCTTCTGCCTGTTTTGCTCCTTGTGAATTCTCTCACCTCCCCCTACCCCCTGTGCCTCTGGCCTGTACCCCAGTGCTTGTATAAATAAATAAATCTTTAAAAAAATAAAAAATAAAATGATTTGATAATCCCTGAATACTAGGCGCTCTGATTTCTTATGTTACCAACTAGTGGTGAGGAGAGAGATGCTTATTTTTCTTTGCTGTCTTGCATCAGTAGTAAAACAAATCTCCTAAAGTGAAAAAATGACAAAAGATTAAATCAGAGAATCAAAACAAATTCCAAATTCCATCACACACACACATACACACATTTGTGTCAGTCTTCTTCCATCAGGTTAAAAAGAACCTCCTTATTTGCATTTATTTTCACCCAATGATAGAGCTAACTGTATTTTGTTGCAGATGTAACAAATACAATTACAGCTGTTCTTTATTTGAACTTCTAAATATCCAAAGATGTTCAAGGATTCAGTTTGCTCAGTTTTCCCCACAGTGTCATCTATTATTTGGAAAGGAGACCTAATTTGCAACAAATATGAAACTATTTGTCATTTTGCAGGTTTGCCAAAAATAAATGAAACTATTAATTACTACATTTTTGAGCAGCTGTTAATAAACTGGGATAGGATAACTGTTCATTAGAGTATTGGCTAATGGCATGGACTGTATTTGTTTAGTGTTGCTTTTCACGGAAATGCATCAACAAAATTAAATGTATCAACAAAAGTAAGTGGTGCTTTATTTTAATTATTTAGGATGATAAGTTACCCATCACATGTTGGTAAATTTAGGAGTTTCAAACAAGTCCTCCTTTGTTGTATTAAAACTAATGATTCAACACCATATTTTAAAAGCAGGTTGCATCACTGAGCATTTTATATTTTAATGCCTTTTATAGTTGTATGTCTAAAATAATGGTTTGATAATGTTCTTAAATACTAACTACTTTAAAAATAAAATTTCTAGTACTTAATTTTTTTATTCCAAACCTAAAATTAGCTTTAAATGTCTTCATTCTAAAATATTTTACCCAATTTTCTGAGTAGAAAAGTGACTTTGGATTATTTTAATGCCTTCATGCCTGTGCATATATGACCAAATAGAAAGTGCTCACATATTCCGTTTAATTAGAATATATACATTCCATATTTGTTTAATTGGAATACATTTAATTGCAAATGTGGTCTAATTAAAACAAAAATTTGAATAGCTTCTAGGTATAGAGGTACTTAGAGAAGAATAATTAGGAACATACCACATACACAACATCAAGTGGTTTCTAAAGGACTTAATCTGTTTAATCTATATGATCAAATTATTACATTGAAAAAAGACACGGTTCTCAAATTGTTGGTTCTCATGCCTCCTGTCCTTTTGGCACCCTGAAATGCTAACTATCATTACAAAAATATTTTACTCCCGATTACAGAGGTATTTTTAAGTTGTGATTATACTAAATAAAATTAGTCATCAACCAGTGAGAATTTTGAGAGGATGTTTTTCAGATTGACATGACTAACCCTCACACAGAAAAAAGGGGGGTAGTTACCATTTGAAAATATGTAATGTGTCCAGTGTTGGATGAACAGAAAAAGCACCAGGTATCCCCTGTAAAACAGGCATTCATTACTATGGCCCCTCTGTTTTGAAATCTGACAGATGAACTGGATATCGTCAAATTACTCAAAGCACGATACCCTCTCACCACTGGAACGGCGGTTACCTTTGGCCACAGTCACTGGTAGTGGAAGGTAGTTAGCATGTGAAAGCAGTCCCAGTGTCCCATATTTGTAGCTGAAATAAATATGTCATCTGAAGTCCATTCCCTTAAGGACAGGTGTCTGTTTCACAGTTGGCATTTTCCAAATTAGTTCTGTGGTTAAATGGGCATGGAAGCAGAACTAACCTTTAACTCCCGGAGACGTTCCCTCAGGAAATGATGGAGGCACCTTCAGGATGGTGTCACAGCAGCTGTATCACTGCCACTTCCTGGGCAGTAACTTCATAATGAGACTGTTTGGGGCTCTGCTCACCCCATGTGTATCTGTGCCAGAATACTCCTCCGAGCAACAAGCATTCCTACGTTATTTGTAAAGGAATGATTGTAAAAATTAATGTTTTCAATCAGCAATATAGTAAACAGTTGCTACTTGTAATTTGCACCTTTCAGATCCCAGAATACACCTAGTAAATACATCTGCCACCTCAGGAATATTTCCCATTTTAAAATACTCCATCATACCTATAGAAGAGAAATTACGTCAACTCTTGAATTTTGAGGTTTGTAATTTTTCAGAATATAACAGGGTTCACCCTGCAATCTACAAAATTCAATTGATATTTATTTAAATATTTTACTTAAAATTTCACAGAAATATTCAAATGTTAAACATTTAACTATTGCTTGTTTTAACTAATTTCAATTACTTCTAAATTATGAGACCATTTAAAAATAAATTTAAAAATCATAAAATAATGTCCCATAGACTGAGAGCAATGTTGTTAAAAGAATCAATTTTTTTATTAGTATTTTTCTTTGCCCTTTCTCTTTAGAAATGTTTTTGCGTCACTCCATTGTGATTTGTTTGTATACCGATATTGTTGGGAATTTACCTTTGTTTCATATACTTCTGATCAATTCCAACTCATACCCAATTATATTACACTAAATTAACATAATTCAACAGATGTTGATATTTAAATGTTTTCTGGCATTCAAATCTTGGACAGCTGTCTTTGAGCTTGGGGAAAAGGCAAACATTTAGAGTTAAATGCTGAACATATGCTTAAATTACTAATTAGAAAGACGGAATAAAAACTATGCATTATCCTTTCTAAGGACATTAAACCTTAAATAGGGATTTCTGTAATCTTTTTACATGAAGTTATAGTCCAGAGGTATATACAGAATAGAAACATAGACTTTATGGATAACTTACTTAGTCTCAATTTAGTCACTTAAAGTGACTAGTCACTAAGATGTGAAAGTCTTAGTACTATGACTATAATGTTATTGTGCTATAATGACTTAGTACTGGCAATTTTAAGAGTTGAAAAGATGCCTTTTTACTTGCAATGTCAGAATGGTAAAAACCTGGTTCTAACAATATTTTATCATGGAAAAATTAATCGTTAATCATATGTAAAAAGAAAGAACAATATGGAGTCAATATATCTGTCAGCTGGCTTAGATCATAAACAGTGTATGGCCAGTCTTGTTTCTTCTGTATCTTCTTCCCCTACTCTAAAACTCAGCTATCATATTATTTCCACTGAAATATATCAATGTGTTTCTCTAAAATATAACTTCCTCTTTAAAAAAGCCTTTTGTCTATTTTTAAAAAATAGCACCATCGCCACATCTATTAAAAGGGCAATAATTTAATATACTTATATGTGGGGCTGTGTTTGGATATGCAGTGATAGTCACATTTCCCTGATTATTTTAACATCTTTTATCACATATTTTTTTGCATTCGGACCCAAGTGAGATCTGTCTATTATAACTGGTTGATATATATCTCTTATGTTC